AGGACATCGCAGTTAGCGTGCATTCCTGAAGTAGCAATGGGAAGAAAAGAGCAACAGACTGATCAGAGCAGTTAAAGGGATAGGGCTTTCCTGTTGGCAATGTTCTAACTTTGAGATTATCACATCTCATTTTCTACAATCTCAAATAAGGAGCCTGAAAGAATTGGAAAGGGAGCTTTCTTAAATCCCAGCGGAGAGCACAGGGAACCCCTGTTCGGCTCATTTGCACACCGTCAGAGCAAAAGTGATCTACAGGAATGAAGGATCGTTTCTCCTTTGTCCTATAGCATCAAGGTCTCATGAATTCCAGGATGATTAAATCAGTGGATAAATGAGATTCCATTCTTGATAACAACCCCAGAAATATTTTCAGATCTTTTTACTTAAAGAAAAAGTAGCAACAACAAAATAACTAAGAGATTTTTTTTTTATAGCCCTACAAACATATTTAGACATTAACTTTGAGGAAATACATTTTATTTTTACATGTGGAAAAATGGCTTTACTTTGATTAGGGATGAGAAATATTTCAACATTGTCCTACACTGTCCCATTACCATCATACCCATTGGATGACTCTTGAAAGCTCGGGAATAAAGCATCATGAGCAGTACACATTTGGAGTCACTGCCTAAGCAGATGTCCTACCACAGAACACTATGGAATGCAGCTGTCTCAGTCTTTACGGTTAGGGCAGTAACATTCACCTAAAATAAGTACCAGATGAAGAACCAAGGTGTAAGGAACAACAAGAACCACCCAAACAAACAAACCCACTAATATCCAGGAATTTCTTCAAGTTTAGTGATTTTTTATTATACAGAGTGAAACGGTCTAAGCTGCTATAACTCAGTCTTCACGACTTGGCACTTCAGAGATCCTCCTCCAAATGAGACAAAGAGAGTATCAGAATTTGGGTCTCATGAGTTCCAGGATTCCTTACCTGCTATGTTACTTAATATTAATTGCCTTGTTTCATGGGTAGCGTCTAAAATCTACTGTAAATACAGTAATTTGATTCCAGATTTCCTGTATTTGTAAATGTCATCAAAAACTGAGCATCTGAAGTCAAAGCATTTTGTTCAAGCTATAGTCAACAGGTTTAATTTATGCATACAATTAAGAAATTTTTCTTGATGTGCCAGTCTAGCAGGCTAAAAAGAAATACAGATGTTTTCAGTGCTGGTTTCCCGTACATGCAAACTTTGAACTCAGACTACACTACTGATCAACTTTAAATTAGCATAAATCAACTCTTCTCAGTAGCACAAGGAGTCCAGGACTCTGCCTTGTTAACTGAAACGTTATTTGGGATTAAATCTGTCATCTACAAACTACTTTGCTCCTTGCATCTGATAGGCAAGAATAAAGGAAAATACAGACACACACAATATCCCCTACACATTCAGAGCAAAATCCAAGTACCATAAGTCTTGCCATTGGCAAGTATACACAGTGATGCTCTGCATGAGGCATGGGTACATAGAGTTTGTTGTTTACAGGTTGGCAATTGACAGCTTCAAGGACAGCGATACACTGTGATCCTTCAAACGTGACAACTTCTATGCAACATCAGAGAAAAATGTCTGTAAGGCACTGCTTTCTCCTTTCACACACCTCAGTCCTGAAAAATGTACTTGCATGATGACAGAGGAAGGCACTCACTGCCTCTTGGATTCAGAGTATACGCTCAGCAATATGTGAGACACAATGGACATCTCAACTCCCTCCTTGACAACTGGGGCTGTAACAAAACTCATTTCGGCATTGTGGCAGTCTGAAATTCAATAGCCTTGGAGTGACTGGATAAAAACTCACATTTTGGTAAAGGAAAGAGTACAACTTTGAGTACACAAAGACATTATATGAAGGGAGCTCATATGGGAAGGAACTGGCTACTGCAAAAGTCTGCAAATAGAGGCTACAACAGGACTCCTGTTTAATATGAACTCAGCCATGCTGACTCAACTAGACTAGGCATTGTAAGCTGAATTTATTCTGGGCATGCATTTCATGCTTCCCAGCACAAGAAAGATGCAGAGCTCTTGGAACAGATCCACAGGAGGGCCACTAAGATGATCAGAGGGCAGGAACACCTTGCCTATGAAGAAAGGTTGAGGGAATGGAACTTGTTTAGCTTGGAGAAGGCTCCAGGGAGATCTCATTGTAGCTTTCCAGTACTTGAAGGAGGCACATAAACAGGAGGGAGAATGGCCATTTATGAGGTTGGATAGTGATAGAACAAGGGCGAATGGTTTTAAACTGAGACGGGGAGGTTTAGGTTAGATGTTAGGATGAAGTTTTTCCACACAGAGAGTGGTGACACACTATAACAGGCTGCCCAAGGAGGCTGTGGATGCCCCATCCCTGGAGGCATTCAAGGCCAGGCTGGATGTGGCTCTGGGCAGCCTGGTCTGGTGGTTGGTGACCCTGCACATAGCAGGGGGGTGAAACTGGATAATCATTGTGGTCTGTTTCAACCCAGGACATTCTATGAATCTATGAGAGGATACTGAAAGCCACAGAATTAAATCAGGCAAACCACACTTCTCAAATAATAATGGGTTTGTATGAAAACAGCCACGTTGAGTCAGACCAGAAATCCACCTAATCTATTATACTTTCTCCAACAGCATCTGTAAAGTACAATAATGTCATTAGTTCACCAGGTAGAATAAAACCCAATGCTTCTATATTTTAAAATTGTCTAATTCAATATTGCAGAAGTCTTGCACACTCTTGTCTGACTTCCTCAGTTGTTGCCTGCAGCTAAGAGGTCCAAAAAGAGCCAACAATTATCAGTCTGCACAAACCTAAAATAGAACAGACTTCAGATTAGCTTCCTCAGATGAGCACCAAGACAAAGCAGTAGGTAGGAACTGCAGTTTTGAGAGGGGAAAAGAAGAGAAGAGCTACACCACAGGTAATCCTACCCTTGATTGCCAAAACTGTTGTAAACATGACCATGAAATTCAGCTGTTAGCTCTCCTGTAAGCTGCTAGCTTTCACAGTCCCTCCTTTCACTGATCCTCTGCTATCTTAGCACATTAATTTACCAGAAAACTTAACTATAGATTCCCCCCTTAACTGACTTCGCAGACAGAAATAGCTCAGTTAACAATTTGTGAATGCAGCTATCAGATCTTTGATCCAACTTTCTCAGAGAGTATCTGCAAAACATAGCATACCCCCCAAAGAGCTGCTGCCTCAGAACCAAGAATTCAAAGCAGAACCAAGAGAAAAAGAAGTACACCTTGTGTAGGCACACAGCTTACACAAGACTCACTCGACAGAAGTGATGTTATTTCACAGTATTTCATACCCACAAACAACATTTCAGAATAAGCATCAAAACAAGGCAGCACAAAGTACAGTATCTCCCATATCCTACCTCTGGCAGCCTTCACTCTGCCCCAGACATCTAATCTAGTCTGTCCTACAACTGTTTACAAATTATGCGAAAAATCTGCACAAGACAGCTGCTTAAATTTCATTATCTCTACCCAGATTTCTCAAAAGAACACTGAACAAAATAATTCAATGTAGCAGTAGGAACATAACTTCATTGAAGTCAACTAGACACTTCAAGTATCAGTAACAATCTTCTTAGCTAGCACTTCTGAAGTGAATGTCAAAACTGAAATACTTGGCATTTGGTCACAAGGCAGTTTGTCATACTGAGTTTTAAATCAACACAACTTTGCCTCTAAATTTAAGCAAGCATTATAGCCAGAGAAACAGCATAACAATATGCACCCTTGAACTTCCATTTCCTAGTTCCCTTCTGAAATCTGACGTGGCACTACTGCAGCCATCAGCAGGCAGTCTAATGTTATGTAAACGATTTCAAAACTTAATGGTTATAGAACAGATGGTTACTTTGGAAGAATAAGAACTTCACAGCTTTGCTAAGTAAAAACTACACAATATAAATAAGTTTTAGAAGAATTTGGTTGCTTCAGGTTAGTACTTAAAAGTTTTTACAAACTACCTCTACACGTCTAGCTGTCTTACTACCCCCACCAACAGCAGGCAACAAGGAGTCAACAGCAATCAGGAAAGAAATTTTAAGTCGCTAAACCATTCCATAAACAAATTGTGAAGTCATTCATTCCACTATGGAAACTGAGAAGTTCCTTGCTTGCTAGGATACAAAGAACATGAACTGCCTCTCACCAAACACTTCACCTGAACTCAAAAAAACATCAAGCAAAAGAAAGTCTACACCTTTGCTTCTTACACACCAACAGCAATGAGCAAGAACCAGGAAAAGCCCTTCAAAAAAACAAACAAACAAACAACAACAACAACAAAAAAAAAAACAGAAACAAAAAACAACCAAGATTAAAGAGGGACTGCCCACCACACAGAATAGCAAGATGGAATTTTTCTGTTCAAGTGGTTAAACCATATTAGAGTTTTACACCACAGTCCACTATGAAGCCCAGGAGAGATTTATAAAAATAATTATGTGCAAGTAATTAACAACGATATGGTAATCTACCATCAGTCATCTAACAGCCCCAGGGTTGACACCAGTGCTATTTCGTTAAGAAGTAACCAGGTACTGAGTCTTTTTTTCTTTCTTTCTTTTTTGCCATTAACACCAACATTACACGTACCACAGTTCACCTTCAGACACCTATGCTTCCATTTGAACAGTTACACTCTTCACCAGCTCTAAGCTTGTTTACTGGGGATACCACAGAGCCTCCGTTAAGCACAAACACGGCAGACTCCAGCAAGGAACCCACCTCTGTACAGTCCAGTTTCATTGAACTGAAACATCACTTTTCTTTAACTTTTATTAAGTTCACTTAGGTTGACCAAATGAGCTTCCCTAAAGTAAACATGTTTATAAAATATCAGCATGATTCTATCTTCAGGTGCTCAATAGAAACAAATACTTAGTTCAACTAGAAAACCTTAAAAATGACTTTAGATACAAAAGTGTAACAATTATACTGAGCAATACATCTGTATATATCACTAAGCCCATGAAATTAAAAAAAAAAAAAAAAAGTTTTTGCACCATCAAGAACAGCCACAAGTCCTGAACCTCCATTCTTAACGCATCCTCGGTCAGAGTGAACTGAAACTTGGGAATGCTTGGGATTCAAAATACCCTGAGCACATACTAGTGCAACACCACAAAGCATACATAATCCATCAGAAAAGGGCGGGGGGGGGGGGGGGGGGAACGAGAATCGGATGGTGCTTTATTATACAAGCATGAAAGTTAAGTTCCTTTGGAAAACAACTTCTTGGGTGGACTTCTGGACCAGTGAGGTAGCCCGATGGGAGAAGTGGAAGCAGAACTTGGTCCCCACGCGCGGTACCCGCAGCCGGCCCCTCGCCCGCCCGGGGCCCGGCGCCCCGGCCCCGATTCTAGCGAGCCGTAAAGTGCAGCAGAAGAACATGATCCAGACAAAAGCAATGTAAACAGGTGACTGATATTGGTCTCTTTGTCCGCGCCGGCCTTCCCTCCCCTCCCGCCGCCTCAGGACGGCGCCACGGGCAGGCGGCGCACCCGCACCACGGGCGACAGGTCCACGCCGAGGATCCGCTGCGCCCGGCGCCGCGCCGCCTCCAGGCTGCGCCAGTTGCAGACGCCGCCGCGCACCCGGATGGTGGGGAAGGTGGTGAGGCGAGGGGTAGCCGCCTTCCAGATCTCCTCCAGCGACTTGCCGCCGAACGGCTGCCTCCAGGCGGCCTGCTCGGCCGGGCCGCCCCGCTCGCTGTCCTCGGCCTCAGCCTCGTCCTCGCCCGGCGGCCCCGCCGCCGCCTCCAGCCGCTCCTCGCCCTGGGTGCCATCGGCCGCCGGTGCCGCTCGGTGCCGCCAGCCCTGCGCCCTCCTGCGGCGCCGCCGCCGCCGCCGGGGCCGTTTGGCGGAGCCGCCCGTGACCGCGGCCCGGCGCTTGGCGGGCGGGAGGCGCCGTTTGCCGGGCCGGTGGCGGGGCCGCTCGGCCGAGGGCGGCGGCGGGTCGGGGACGACGGCGCGGCAGGAGGCGTAGCCGTAGACGTCCTTGCTGCGGAGGATGACCGGGGAGAACTCGTGCTTGAGGCTGCAAAGGAAGTTCCACAGCTCCGAGTCGGAGCTCATGAACTCGGTGGACTTGGGCATGAAGAGCTTGAGGGCGTCGCCCAGCGCCTTGGTGCCGGCGTAGGAGACCTGCGAACGCGAGTATACAACTTTCTCCGAATCCCCCTCCAGCCCCCAGGCGCCGGGCGCCGTTCCGTTCCCGGCTGCCCCCGCCGCCGCCGCCGCCCGGGCCCCCTCCGCGGCGCTCCCCGCTTCTGGGTTCATCTTGCCGGCTCCTCTCTCCAGCGCCGCCTGCTTCCTGCTGCGGGTCATGGGAGCGGAGGGACGGGGGAAAGAGGCGCGGAGAAGGGCAGAGGACGGGCGCCTAGCGCCCCGCCGCTCACCCGACAGGGAGCGACGATCGATATCCGCCGCCCGGCACAAAATGGCGCTTTAAACTCCCAGGCGGGGACTGCGCTCCGGCCCGCCCTCCCTCCGCGCCCGACGGTTCGCCCGTTTGAAACGCGTCGCGCGGGCCGAGCTCCGCCTTCCGCGCTTGGAGGCGGCCATTGGGGGCGCTGCGGGGGCCCCGCGGGAGACCCGCGGTGGAGGCGCGAGGGGCTGCCGGGGGTTGCCGCCCACAGGGCAGCGCCCACCCGTGGCCGGGCGCTGGGCTGCGCTGGGCCCTGGGGCTTCCCGCTGCTCTGGCTGGCTCCAATGGGCCAAGGGAGGCTTCATCGCACCATCGTTTCCAACCCTGCATCCAGTAGGGTGGCCCAGTTGGCAGCCCCTTCCCTTAGGGTGCAGTTCTGGCGGCTTTGAGGTTGCAGGTGGGCCGACAGACTTGGCTGTGAAGGTGGGGCCTCTCTGCCACGTGCTGCAAGGGCAGGGTGGTTCACAGAGCAGTGGGGATGGTGTTTGCTTCCTCAAAATGTCTTCAAGTAGGGGTTTAGGGTTAGAGGTTTCTGAGGATGAATCCCTCAAAGGGAGAAGAAAGGCAGAAGAAAATAACAAAATGAGCAGAGTAGGATTGTTCATTTGGCAGTGACCTACAAAGATCACCAAGTCTTGTCAAACTTCAGTATTACCCAAAAGTTAAAGCGTATTTATGAGGATGTTGGCCAAATGTCTTTTGAGCATCAGCCGCCTCAATAGGAAGCCCATTCCAGTGTTTTCCCACCATCACAATAAAGAAATCTTAATGTAGATCCAGTCTGAATTCCAAGATGTCCAGTCTGGCCTGAAATGAGTGAATAGACATGTTGTGATGATCACCCAGCATTAATTACATTCATCCTGTTGCTGCAGAAGAGTTTTAATGTGATGCTGTTGGTCAGTAACTCAACCATGTCATCAAGACATTGAAATACAGCACCATTGAGGTAGGCTTCACGTCCCAGCAAAGCTGACCGATAATGAAACCCATGAAAAAAAGAACAATCTTTGCTTGGTTGAGCCCTTTCTAAAAATTACCAACTGAATGAGTCCATGCCACGTTCCTGCATGGCGTGGCTATGCTGGAAGCTTTGTAGGACAACTTTGTCAGCTGCCACAAATCCCGCTGTCTCCCTTGATGGTATTTTCCAATAATTCAGAGATTGCTATCACAGGAAGAGTGTCTTGTCAGGTTCCTGGATTGTTTCAATTAAATCAGCACTCCTTCCAGTACCCAGAAAAATAAAGTGGCAGCAAGGTCAGAGGTGGTTTAACCTTCCCTACGAACCCTGCATGGGGTTTGATTAGACTCCTAATTACTTTCTCTCAGCATTGGTAAAGGATGAAGAATAACAGTATTTCTCTTCATAGACAGTCTTTATACTGTAATTAATTTCTCAGTTTAGAATAGGGAAATCTTTTATTCTCAACTCATCAAGAAACTAAATTGGAATGTCTGGGTAGCTACTCAAATAAGAGGCAGAAATTATGTATAAGAAATTATTACTTACTGCCAGTGGAAATAAGTGAATTTTTCTTCATGGTATAATTTGGCTTGTGCTCACGGGAAACTCAAGAATATTAATCCAAATAGCCATTTAAAGTAGGTTTTGACAAAACTATTTTAAATCTTCATGGAGACAGTCTCAAGGTTTAGCCATATTCCAAAACATCTTTATAAATGATCTATTTTTTTAAAAATACACTTTCCCAAACAATAGTTGCTGGTGCCGTTTTTAATCAGATTTATTCCACAGCTCATTTCAGAGCTCAGTCGTGCCAGCAGACTGCTTTACCTGAGGGAGATATGCTACAAAGCGAGGGATAAGAAGCCATAGCTGGAAGCCTTAGGACCACACATCTCTTATCCAGCTGTGTTGCAGTTCCCCCCCTCTCTAGCACGAGTGCCTGGTCACAGCCATGGGATAGCCACAGCTCACCACCCTCTGGGCTGCAGGAGCTGGCATAAGCATTCCCAGTGGTGAGAGCTTTCACGCTGTCAGATTCAGCTGCTCAGTTGGTCAGTACGCCCTCATTAAACTTCAGAAATCCAGTTGTTTATTGGCTATTGGCCAAGGTCATTGGCCATGGCCTTTTTCCTGAAATTACACTTCTGGCTTATGGCTCAAAATCATTAATAGAGATTTTCAGCAAGCACGGGAGGAGCCACTGTATGAGTTAAAAGATAGATGAGCATGTTTTTGTGTTAATCAGCATTTACAAATTACTTTTGCTTCTGGTATGGATGATACCATTTTACAGCACAGAATGTAATCTCAGTTTGACAACTTCATTGTAGATTTCTGCAGTGTAACATCCTCCTTTTAATACCTTACAAAGTCATCTCAAGAAAATCCACAGTAATTGGCTCTTTCAGCAATTTACAATAGCTCAGTGCAGTACTAATGATGATAATAAAATTAATAATCCTTTGGAAGTACATAGCTCTTCACTTTAATCATACTGCTGCTTATATGCATTAATTATCGCTCACAGCACTCCTAGTTATGTAAGCAAATATTGCCTCTCTTTAACAGAGGAATAAAATGAAGAAATGGATTAAAACAGTTTGACTAACGTGTATGGACTCAATTACTTAATTTTCTGTAGATCTTCTTAGTTTCTAACAATCATTATTCTAAAAATACATTGAATGTCTACACCAAAACAGAGAAGAAAAAAATCTAGTAATCTTCATTCTATTTATTCACTAGAATTTCTTTACAGAATTCTTAAGAATGGGAAACAAAAGTATAAATTGATGAACTACTGCATTAATGTTTTATTTCATAAATAATTCCTGCCTAGTATCAAACAGTGCTGCTAACTACTAAAATGTTATCTGTACACATGATCACATAGAGCTTTGAGTCATGGTGATTCACCCGAAAATCCTGGATATTAAGTCTTATGCTGCTGGGGATTTTTCTCTAACATACTCATGCTCTTCTACCGAGACAGCAAGGACAGTCTTTTACTGTCCAACACCCCTAAAAATGATCACTCTTTCTTGCAATCTTTTCCTCTGCTCTTGAGAGGCTGTATTAGCTAGTGCTCTGCTTCAGTCACTTTGTTTCTTAAATATCTTTAGCGCACTTCTGCGAGACCTTGTGTGACCATGCAAGTCCACATACATTTGCAGCTCAACTTCAGGTGTTGTCCAGCAGTCATCAGGTTCCTTGTTCTGAGCTGTTCCCAGACAAGCACTGGCAAAATTCCTGAAAGCACTTTCATTAAAGACAAAAGCAAGGGATTTATAAGAATTGTGTCTCAGTTATTAAAAAAAACAGTTGCTCTTATATACATATATATGAATCACAATGTGTACTTTAAAAAAAATTGCTGATGCTGTCAAAAAAGGAAATGAGATGTTAGGAATTTCTCTGGAAGGGAAAGAAAGCAAAATAGAAAACAGCACTGCTGAATACAAGTCCATTTTGCCTCCACAGATCTGTGCTTGTAGTCCTGCCATCTCTAAAAGGATACAGAATGATACAAAGAAGGGCAACTAAGATGAGCAGAAATATGGAACGGCTTCTCTTCATTATGAAGAGAGACTAAATAAGCTAAGACTCTTCAGTCTGAAAAACCAGATGGTTGAGAGGGAGTACGATAAAGGTTTATAAAACTGTGATAGTACAAAGAAGATTGTAAGTTATTATGTCTTAGTTTTCATAATCTAAGAATGAAAGAGAAGTACATGAAGCTGTAGAGCAAAATTTTTTTAAATAACCAAAAAGGTACTTTTTTCAGATGACTCATAATTACTCTGTGGAGTTCCTTTTCCAGCAAAGTTGTGGGTGCCAACTTGGAAACTTGTACAGCAGTACTGAATATAAAGATGAGCTCACTGAGAAGGGTTTACAAATATTACAGAGCTCACCATTCAAAGCAATGAACGAGTGGAAGACATGAGGAGAAGGCAAAGATCCTGTTCTGCACAAAAACCAAGACGATCCCCTTGGTCTTGGAAAGCCTGGAAGACAACGGCTAGGCGAGAAGGGAAGACTGCATCAGGGAAGGAATCCTCAGTGTTTGGCCCATTCTTGCACTCTCTCCCTACCCCACCTCTTCTGGCCCCTAACAGACAGCCCGCCAGACCAGGTGAACTCTGGAGCTGGCCATCATTGTATTCTACAGACTGATAGGAAAAGAGAAGAGGGCAACCACAACAGTAAAATGTAGCATTTATTTCCCAGTGCCTTACTGGTGCAACAGCTGGAAGAAGATATTCTAGAACTGAAAAGCAGTGAAGCATTTTCAGAGAAAGGAGTGCAGAGTTTAAAGTCCATTGGCCGCCAGGACCCATGGCCAGGAAGAAACCCCTGCAAGGACAGAGCCTGAGGTAAAGGGTATTCCACTGGTTATGATTATTGCATGTTCGTTTTCCATTTTGTTCATAGCCTCAGTAAACACTTTCAAAATGGTGAGTAACTAGGTGCAAGAGGGAAGAAAAGATTTTTTTTTTTAATGCATTTTATTTCAGTAGCATTTGTTGACAGTAATGTTTGGAAGAAAAAAGGAAAAAAAGAAAAAAAAAATCTGTTTTAGCAAAAGACTTCAATACATAAAAAAAAAAAAATCCCTCAAGCAATAGTGAACATAAAAATGCATCAAGAAGCATGCTTTGTCATACAGAAAGCATGCTTAGATCTTTCACCAGATGCTGTTTAATGTTTGTTTCCACGTTCTGGGAGTAATCTCTATATGCTGCACATAACACTTATGAACTACGTCAATATAATCATTGTCCTGCTATTAATAAATGCTGTACTGGTGGTCACTGCAGTCTTGACAATCAATAATAGACTCTTAGTCTAAAATGTTAGGTTCGTGTCATAAAATACGAGACATTACTTTCAGAGCAGCTCTCAATAAGCGTATAATATAGTTAATATATATATAAGTAACAAAACTTATTTGATTTTTTAATGTTTTTTATTAAAATGTATTAAAAAAAAGAGCAACAAAACATAAAAAGCTGATGAGATATTTGACCTTGTTTCTGTGAAACTAACACAGTAGTCTGGTTTGATGACAGTT